TTTTGTTTTCCATGCAACGATTCCCAACAGTGGCATCATGTGCCAGGTCTATGAGTAGATGATATGTACGAGTAGAACACAAAGAGTTATGGGCCGTGATAGTCATACTGCTTACCACCAACATCTTATTTTAATTCAGTGGTATTGTGAGATGAAGCGGCCTGGACCAACCTTACATGTCCACGCACATGAGACCGGTTCCACCGACTGACATGCAACTAGTTTTGCATAAAGGTGGCTGGCGGGTGTCTGTTTCTCCTACTTTAGTTGAATCAAATTTGACTATGGTCGGTCCTTGAAGAAGGTTAAAACAAGAAACTTGACGAAACACCGTTGTGGTTTTACGTGTAGGTAAGAATGGTTCTTGCTAGATGCCCGTAGTAGCCACGTAAAACATGCAACAACAAAGTAGAGGACGTCTAACTTATTTTTGCAGGGCATGTTGTGATGTGATATGGTCAAGACATGATAATCATTATTGTGTGAGATGATTATGTTTTGTAAAGTTATCAGCAACCGGCAGGAGCCTTATGGTTGTCTCTTTATTGTATGAAATGCAAACGCCATGTAATTGCTTTACTTTATCACTATGCGTTAGCGATAGTTGTAGCAGCAATAGTTGGTGAGACGACCACGACACAACGATGGAGATCAAGGTGTCGAACCGGTGACGATGGAGATCATGACGATGCTTTGGAGATGGAGATCAAAAGCACGAGATGATGATGGCCATATCATGTCACGTATTTTGATTGCATGTGCTGTTTATCTTTTATGCATCTTATTTTGCTTAGTACGGCGGTAGCATTATAAGATGACCCCTTCACTAAATTTCAAGGTAAAAGTGTTCTCCCTAAGTATGCACCGTTGCTACAGTTCATCGTGTTGAGACACCACGTGATGATCGAGTGTGATAGACTCTACGTTCACATACAACGGGTGCAAGACAGTTTTGCACATGCGGAATACTCGGGTTAAACTTGATGATCCTAGCATGTACAGACATGGCCTCGGAACACTTGAGAGCAAAAGGTCGAATGTGAATCATATAGTAGATATGATCTGTCGGGGAACGTAGCATGCAATTTCAAAAAACTTCCTACGCTCACGCAAGATCTATCTAGGAGATGCATAGCAACAAGAGGGGAAGAGTGTGTCCACGTACCCTCGTAGACCAAAAGCGGAAGCATTGGGTTAACGCGGTTGATGTAGTCGAATGTCTTCGTGATCCAACCGATCAAGTACCAAACGTACGACACCTCCGAGTTCAGCACACCTTCAGCTCGATGACATCCCTCAAACTCTTGATCCAGTAGAGGGTCGAGGGAGAGTTTCGTCAGCATGACGGCATGGTGACGGTGATGGTGATGTGATACGAGCAGGGCTTCGCCTAAGCACTAAGACGCTATGACCGGAGGAGTAAACTGTGGAGGGGGGCACCGCACACAGCTAAGAGAACAATTGATGTGCTTTGGGGTGCCCCTGCCCCCGTATATAAATGAGGAGGGGAGGAGGCCGGTCATATGGGCCATAGGAGGGAGTCTAACCATCCCACAAGGGGTTGGTGCGCCCCCCACAAGGGAGGAGGCTGAATTGGACTAGGGAAGGGGGCGCCACCCCTTCTCCTTCTCCTACTCCCTCCCCTTCCCCTTTTCCCCCTCCGATAGAAGGAAAAAGGGGGGCGAATCCTACTAGGACTGGAGCAGGGGGCACCCCAAAGCACATCAATTGTTCTCTTAGCTGTGTGGGGTGCCCCCCTCCATAGTTTACTCCTCCGGTCATAACGTCGTAGTGCTTAGGCGAAGCCCTGCTCGTATCACATCACCATCACTGTCACCACGCCGTCGTGCCGACAAAACTCTCTCTCGACCCTCTGCTAGATCAAGAGTTCGAGGGACGTTACCGAGCTGAACGTGTGCAGAACGCGGAGGTGTCGTGCGTTCGGTACTTGATCGGTTGAAGCGCAAAGAAGTTTGACTACATCAACCGCATTGTGAAATGCTTCCGCTTACGGTCTACGAGGGTACGTAGACACACTCTCCCCCTCGTTGTTATGCATCTCCATGGATATATCATCATGTGTGCGTAGAATTTTTTTGTTTTTCATGCAACGATTCCCAACAGTATACACATATAGCAATATCCTGCTCGGAGATCCTCTCCTCGCCTCCGTGAGAGAAAGCGATCTCAGCGTATCTCTTCCTGTTATCTAGGTGTGTTTTATCAAGTATCCGGTTTTAGTTGTAAGAGGTCGTGATACAACTCCAAGTCGTCCTTTTACCATGGACACGACTATTCGAATAGTTTAACTTCCCTGTGGGGGTGCACCACATTTCCTGGTACGCTCGATTACCTCTGGCCGAACACACTTTTCTAGGTAATGCCCGACCTCGTATGATCAACACGCTATAGTCCTACCTAGACTCTCTAGAGAGGTCAACACGCTGGTCTATACCCTAAGCGCGACGGGGTCATGGGCTAATCGCCCTGAGCACTCCTGCACGTTGCGCGACTGGTCGGGGCCAAGCCCACCATTGTATACACAACATGCATAACCGACTCACCCCAACAATCAACCCGCTCCACTGCAACATTTGGCAGAGCTTTCGAGAGGAACGTACGACGTCGAGGGCCCCATAAACCATTATCCCGCACAGCGGTTAGTGCTATATGTCTGTGTCAGTCTCAGATTAAATACCCAAATCTCATTAAGTGTGTTATTAACCGTGGACACCGACCATGGCCCGACCCCACCTCTCTCCTAGCTAGTCTCTGCCCGCCCTATCGTTTCGCCACCGTGAATATTTCGTGTTGGCTGTCGGGACAGATCCCGAGCTACCACCACATCCTGGGTGATACTGCTAACAACCAGCCACCACAATGAATCACTCGCGGGTGCTCTCCGAGCCGACCTGACTTCAACATATCATCACTCGCATGTGCTCTCTGAGCCGACCCGCCTTTAATGAACATGTTTAGTGTAGCAGTATAAGTATATCCGTGGTCATCGCCCGAAGGGATCACAACCCGATAGTATGGCATGGCAAACAGACAAGAGTGTAGGTCCACTGATGAGACTCTAGCATATCTATACTAAGCATATATGATGATTGGTAAAGTATGAACAACAGTTTATCAAAAATAGGCTATGCAACATAATAGGATCTACCGATAAGACACCAACTGAACTCCGACTCTCTAATGCAAGAAGTAGAGAGAAAGAATAGGCGATATCAGAATGATCAAGGGGGGCGTTTGCTTGCCTGGAAGCTCTGTTGAGAAGGACGGGTCG